ACCACGGTAAATACTCACATGCATAAGGCTTCCTTACCAAATCAGTGTAGACTGCATACAACAAATACAGGCATACCCCACTTTTAAGTACACAATGGGACCAGAGCATGTATGTAAAACGAAAATGTACTCAAAGTGAAGCAATACCCTTTTCACTTCCCAATGCATGTACGGCATTGCAATAGTAATTTAAAGGCATAACTGATACTGCAACTGCAGATTTCCAGTGATTTATTTAGTGATTTCCAGTGGGCTTTTATTCAGTTAAAACAAACAGTAAAAAAAAATCTCATTCTAGATTGTGCCATTTATCTTTAATGTTTAACTCATCTGACAACCTTAAACTAAGAGGAAACGTAAAATAAACCTGCCTCCTGGGCCATTTTCTGTCACAACAGTGCCAATTTGTATTTGTTAGCAGCTTAGTTGCACACTTTGTTTAGAAACACCTCTTGATCACTTTAAGCATTTATGGTTTAACTTTGAATCCTCAGAATTGTGGCTAATGCAGCTACACTGCTAAGTCATAGTTATAGAAAATGGCAGGGTAAACCCTTTCACTGGATGGCAGCCGATTGCAGAAAATGGACAATGTAGGGGCAGAAAAAAATATATATATGTTGAGCTTAGTAGACATTATAAATTTGAGGTGATTAACCTGTGCCATGGCAGAAGGTGTGAAAAGTTCTTGCCCCAATGACACTGAAATGAGCTGCTCTGGGCGAGAATAGAACCTTCCATTTCCTGTTCACTCACAAACAGAAAAGGCGCAGGAATGTCTGTACTCGCGAGGCATGTTAAAGTACACTTGCGAGTGTATGTAAAGCAGGGTATACCTGTAGTATATAGTACTACATCAAGATCTTCAATTACCATAACCTATAGACTTTAACCCAAAGGGCCTGTAGCTAGGTTCTTCCATTGGTAGACAGGCTGAATTTCATATAGGTGCCATATTAAAAAACAAATGGCAGGTGAGCTTTAATAAAAAAAACATTTATGCTGCCTAACAACTGGAGGACAGGAAAACAGACTGCTTTTAGGGGAGGGGACTCTTCTTACAGCTTCATTTACTTTTAATAATACAGTTTTAATCAGCTGAGAGGGATGCGCTTAACCCATAGGTAATACTGACATAGACTAGCCAGGAAAGAGATTTTTCAATGTCCATCTATTTTTTTTGAGGCAAGTATAAGAGTAGTCCACGGTAATGGAATACAATACAGATATGTAGAAATATTGTTGAGCAGGTCTCCAACATGTGGTATTACCTCATTTATATATACAGTTGCAAGAAAACGTATGTGAACCCTTTGGAATGATATGGATTTCTGCACAAATTGGTCATAAAATGTGATCTGATCATCATCTAAGTCACAACAATAAACAATCACAGTCTGCTTAACCCCTTAAATCCGGAGGGCGTACTATTACGCCCTGCAGGAGCCGGCTCTAAACGCCGGCGGGCGTAATAGACAGGCTGTCACTGCGATCAGTATTTAACGTGTGTGGCTGACACACGTGGCCGGCGGCTTACTGCTATGCAGATCGCGGTCGGGGGACTTACCTGGCCCCCCCTGGGGTCAGTGACCGCGATCTGCTAAGTCTGAGATCGCAGTGACAGGCTGTCACTGCGATCTCAGAGCGCTCTGATCGCAGTGACAGCCTGTCACTGCGATCGGTGTTACATGTGTCAGCCTAGTGGCTGACACATGTAACAGGCGCAATGATCCCCCTGCAGATTGGTAGGGGGGAGTGCTTGTACCACCCAGGCACTCCCCCCTGTGGTCAATTACCCAATCTGCAGGAGGTGATCACAGTGACAGGCAGTCACTGTGATCACTGATCCTGTATGTCAGCCAGTGATGTGAAATCACTGGCTGACACTGTCTCTGCCCCCTCTCCTGTAATAAAAATAAAATATTAGTTAAATATATATATACACACACACACACACACACACACATTTACACATACACAAAGTGTATTTAAATATTAATATATATAATTATTTATATATATATTACTATCAAATTACACGTAGACTGATACTGATTAAATATATATATAATTATTGTTATATATATATATTTATATATAATATAAAAAAATGTAAATATGTAAAAAAAAATTTTGAAAAATTAAAAATAAATAATTAAAAAATATATTGTTATTTCGTTCTAACTGTATTGTGATATTAATATATATATATTTATATCAAAATACACGTAGAACGAAATAATATATATATCTATATACATAAATATATACGTATATATCACTATATATATACACACCTATATATAAATAAAAATATTTAAAAAAATTATATATATATATATGTATATATACACATATGTATATATATATATATATATATATATATATATATATATATATATATACACACACATATATTAATTCTACACATATATTTATGTAATATTTTTACATAATTAGGTATCCTAATTAATTACAATTAGCGGGACCTGCCTGACAACCCATGCCGAAAGTATAGGGAATTTAATTTGCTAGCACTATATTTAACCCTATAACTTTCCAAGACACCATAAAACCTGTAAATGGGGGGTACTGTTTTACTCGGGAGATTTCGCTGAACACAAATATTAGTGTTTCAAAACAGTAAAATGTATTACAACGATGATATCGCCAGTAAAAGTGACGTTTTTTGCATTTTTCACGCACAAACAGAATTACACGGACAATATTATTGCTGTGATACTTTTTACTGTTTTGAAATACAAATATTTGTGTTCAGCGAAGTCTCCCGAGTACAACAGTACCCCTCATGTACAGGTTTTATGGTGTTTTCAAAAGTTACAGCGTCAAATATAAGGCTTGTTTCATTTTTTTACATTAAAATTCGCCAGATTGCTTACGTTGCCTTTGTGACCCTATGGTAGCCCAAGAATGAAAATTACCCCTATTATGGCATACCATTTGCAATAGTAGACAACCCAAGGTATTGCAAATGGGGTATGTCCAGTCTTTTTTAGTAGCCACTTCGTCACAAACACTGGACAAAATTGGCGGTTTTTGGATTTTTCACACACAAACAAATACTAACGCTAACTTTGGCCAGTGTTTGTGACCAAATGGCTGCTAAAAAAGACTGGACATACCCCATTTGCAATACCTTGGGTTGTTTACTATTGCAAATGGTATGCCATTATGGGTGTAAATTTAATTCCTGGGCTACTATACAGTCTCAAAGGCAATGTAACCAATCTGGCGAATTTCAATTTCAAATGTAACGTGCTGTATTTGACCCTGTAACTTCCCAAAACACCATAAAACCTGTACATAGGGGGTACTGTTTTACACGTGAGACTTTGCTGAATACAAATATGTGTATTTTATTACAGTAAAAGCAAACAGTATTATGACATTGACAGTTAAAATGTCATGTAGAACTAAAAAAATAGCTAAATTTCTTATTTTCTCCCATTTTTTTTCATATTAAATTATGTTTCATAGCTAAATATTTGATATTAAATGAAAGCCCTGTTTCCCCTGAATAAAATGATATATAATAAGGGTGGGTGCATTTACTATGAAAGAGGTGAATTATGGTTGGACAGACATGTAGCGCAAATGCCAGGTTTTGTTTACATTTTGTTTTGTTCACAACATGTACATTTGGCTCCGTCCTTAAGGGGTTAAACTAATAACACACAAAGAATGAAATGTTGCCTTGTTTTTATTGAACACACCATGTAAACATTCACAGTGCAGGTGGAAAACGTATGTGAACCCTTGGATTTAATAACTGGTTGAACTTCCTTTGGCAGCAATAACTTCAACCAAACGTTTCCTGTAGTTGCAAAGCAGACCAGGGACATATTAGCCGCAAGGCTAACAAGGCATTTGCCTTGGGCGGCATTTTCCAGGGGGCGGCAAAAAAAGCCGCCCCCAAATGCTCAGGGCAAATGTCTTGTTAGCCTTGCGGCTAACTGCCAAGCCGGGTGGGCGGGCAGGCAGGCGGCGCTGGCGAGGGAGCACTTCCTCTGAGCTGTCTGCTCAGCTCCCTCGCGCGCCGCAGAATGAAGCTAGGAGCCGGAATATGACGTCATATTCCAGCTCCCAGCCTCACTCTGCGGCGCGTGAGGGAGCTGAGCAGAGAGCTCAGAGGAAAGTGCTCCCTCGCCAGCACTGCTCACCGAGCACCTACCCAGCTGGCCCATTAGCCAGCCAGCCCACCCAGCAGTCACTGGACCCCCAGGGAAAGGAAAAACCCCCCCCCCCCCAGCATTCCCAAAGGTAAGGAGGCTGAATTTAAAAACAAAAGTGAGTGTTAATGTGAGTGTGTGTCTGTTAGTGTGTGTGTGTGTCTGTGTTAGTGTGTGTGTTAGTGAGTGTGTGTCTGTTAGTGTGTGTGTGTGTCTGTGTTAGTGTGTCTGTTAGTGTGTGTCTGTCAGGGAGTGTGTTACTATGTGTGTGTCTATTACTGAGAGTGTATGCGTGTCTGTTAGTGAATGTGTGTCTGCTAGTGACTGTATGTGTCTGTTAGTGAGTGTGTATGTCTGTTAGCTAGTGTATGCGTGTCTGTCAGTGAATGTGTGTGTATTTAGAAGGCGGGGCGGGGGGGAAGGGTGCGGTGGCGCAGGGAGGTGTGTGGGGCACCTAAGTTTCGTCATGACTGGGGCAGCACAAAACCAGGATACACTACTAGATCAGACGTGCACAACTGTCAGGAGTAGTTCTTGACCATTCCTCTTTACAGAATTGTTTCAGTTTAGCAATATTCTTGGGATGTCTGGTGTGAATCGCTTTCATGAGGTCATGCCAGAGCATCTAAATCGGGTTGAGGTCAGGACTCTATCTGGGCCACTTCAGAAGGCGTATTTTCTTCTGTTTAAGCCATTCTGTTGATTTACTTCTATGCTTTGGGTCATTGTCCTGTTGCAACACCCATCTTCTGTGGAGCTTCAGCTGGTAAACAGACGGCCTTAAGTTCTCCTGCAACATGTCTTGATAAACTTGGGAATTCATTTTTCCTTCGATGATAGCAATCTGTCCAGGCCCTGAAGCAGCAAAGCAGCCCCAAACCATGATGCCCCCACCACCATACTTGGGATGAGGTTTTGATGTTGGTGTGCTGTGCCTTTTTTTCGCCACACATAGTGTTGTGTGTTTCTTCCAAACAACTCAACTTTGGTTTCATCTGTCCACAGAATATTTTGCCAGTACTGCTGTGGAACATCCAGGTGCACTTGTGCAAACTGTAAACGTGCAGCAATGTTTTGTTTGGACAGCAGTGGCTTCCTCTGTGGTATCCTCCCATGAAATCCATTCTTGTTTAGTGTTTTACGTATTGTAGATTCGCTAACAGGGATGTTAGCATTTGCCAGTGACTTTTGTAAGTCTTTAGGTGACACTCTAGGATTCTTCTTCACCTCATTGAGCAGTCTGCGCTGTGCTCTTGCAGTCATCTTTACAGGACGGCCACTCCTAGGGAGAGTAGCAGCAGTGCTGAACTTTCTCCATTTATAGACAATTTGTCTTACCGTGGACTGATGAACAGCAAGGCTTTTGGAGATACTTTATAACCCTTTCCAGCTTTATGCAAGTCAACAATTCTTAATCGTAGGTCTTCTGAGAGCTCTTTTGTGCAAGGCATCATTCACATCAGGCAATGCTTCTTGTGAAAAGCAAACCCAGAACTGGTGTGTGTGTTTTTTATAGGGCAGGGCAGCTGTAACCAACACCTCCAATCTCATCTCATTGATTGGACTCCAGTTGGCTGACATCTCACTCCAATTAGCTCTTGGAGATGTCATTAGTCTAGGGGTTCACATACTTTTTCCACCTGCACTGTGAATGTTTACATGGTGTGTTCAATAAAAACATGGCAACATTTCATTCTTTGTGTGTTATTAGTTTAAGCAGACTGTGATTGTCTATTATTGTGACTTAGATGATGATCAGATCACATTTTATGACCAATTTGTGCAGAAATCCATATCATTCCAAAGGGTTCAAATACTTTTTCTTGCAACTGTAAACTTAAACAAGCAATTGCAGACTAGATTGTCATGTCACAACTGAAACTTAATTGTAGAAAAAAAAAAAAAACAGGCTAGTTAGACATGGTGATTACTAAGAAATAGTAATGTTACATAATAGGCAGGGCTTGACAAATCCCAACCGCCAGGTTGCCATGGCGACTAGAAATTTCACTATGGCGTCTGGGATTTGTCTGCCTTTTAGCTAATGCGGTTGGCTGGGCAAACAATGGAGTCGCCCGCCAGCCATGGGGAGTGTGGAGGTGGACGGCAGAGGCAGTGCACGAGGGAGCAGTGATCTTCCTGCAACTCCTCTCTCACGCTGTATAGTGGTGCCAGGAGCCGGAATGTGACATCATTCCGGCCCCGGCATCACTACAGGGAGCATAGAGGAGGTGCATGTAGATTACTGCTCCCTCGCACGCAGTAAGAGAGAGCAGCCCCACTGGACCCCAGGAAAATATCCCCTCAGCTCTCCCAAAGGTAGGGAGGCTGGGTGGACATAAATGAAAGCAAAAATTTTAATTTGTGACTTTATGAGAAAATGTGTGTGTATGTCACGGTGTGTATGCCTCTGTCAATGTGTGTCTGCTTAAGGCCCCCCCCCCCACGACATAAGAGGTGATTTTACTCACCTTTTTTTTCCCCCACGCCGTGCCGGTTTTGCTGTGGCTTATTCCGCCTCTATAGCTGAGATCATCAATCTTTATGATCTCAGATAATCCATGCTTTCTCATAGGAAAACATTGGGAGGATACTGCACATCATCTCTATGGGTAACATTCAGCACATCCATGCAGACGCTGAACATAGGACTCTTTAGTGGCCGTCTGAGTGAATGTTACTAGAGGACTTACTAGGCAGCAATGTAAACACTGCCTTTTCCCTGAAAAGGCTACAGGAAAAGGCCGTAGGTACCAGAACAACTACATTAATCTGTAGAGGTTCTGGTGACTAGAGTGTCCCATTAAGAATTGCATATTTTGGGGGCGGGGCGGGGCAGGGCTGGGACAGACCCGCTGGCACTCCGACCGAGTACCTCCACCAATCGATGCTCCTAGTGCTTGCCGAGGACTCCAAGCACGCCAACTGACACCATCAGCACTGCAGACTTATCTCATCCCCCAAGCATGAGCCAAGGCTTCAAGAAAGGGTCAAGCAGGTCTGTTTAATGAGCACACAAAAGCCACAACACTCATGCAGCAAAACAACTCCTCCTCAGAAGAAAACAAAATGACAGTTAAGGACAGACAGTGTTTGAATATATGACAGTTAAAAGGTCAGACAGAGTTTGAATATTTGACAGTTATAAGGGTTTAACTAGTGTTCTAAGAGGGGGAAGGGGGGAATAAAACAGGGGTTTTCTTCACAATTAGGGATTATTCTAGCCCTAGTGACTGAATAATCTAAATTTTATTAACGACAGGAGGCAAATATTTGTTTATCTTTCTTTACTGAACCTCCCAGCAGCAAAGAAATAGCTAACAATAGTGTAAAAACAATTCAACCAGAGTGTATAACAGTATTATATGATGTCATCAAACTCCTCCCAAGTCCTCTTTCTTGCTGTAGCCGACGATATCCGAGTATCAACCATGTAAACTATAACTATGAACCGTGACCAATCCAAGGTCCTGATGTAGTCAACCATGTAAACTTTCAATGGGATTGATGAATCCATATATCACAAGCGTTGGGGTTCTGCACACTAAAGGGAAGTAGAGAAAAAAAACATGAGAGTATAGGTTCTCATACTAGTTGAATGCAAGTTTATGGCATGCATACTAGGGACAGCAATTTCAATAGATTTCATGTAAAATGATGTTGAGTATGTCAAACTCTTGGTTAGAGTGTTGTGGTGTAAACCTATGACAGATGATGTGTGAATGTGTTTGAAACAGATCGACTAGAAATTTTTTTTTTTAGTAACTTACCTTAGGGCGGGTATAAATGATAATGAAAAACAAAGAAGGGAGGGAAAATATTCGCCTCCTGTCGTTAATAAAATTTAGATTATTCAGTCACTAGGGCTAGAATAATCCCTAATTTTATGGCAAGACAGGAGGCTTCATATTTGCTGTTTTAACGCTCTTATATGATAGAAGATGCAGCATGTGGCATAGGTTTGAAATAGAATGTACGAAAGGTGGACTCCCTGGTCCAATCTGCAGACAACAAAATGTCTGAGAGGGAACTACATGAAAGGCTGCAGATGCGGCTGCTCCTCTGACTGAATGTGTTCCAAAAGAGGAGTCAATACCTGCTTGTGTGGTCTGACATAGGAAACGAGAAGGGGTCCTGTAGAGGAACGCAGAGTGGTTGTGGCATCTATATAGTGCCTTACACAGAGCGCCATGCAAAGCGACTGTCTATTCGGAAAGTAAGGGTAGAATACAGAGGAGGAATTAGTCTTTGTTCGCCTGGTGATGTGAAATTTAACGCCCTCAGGCGAAAAAACTACAACGTGGAAATCAAATGCTCGAATGTCGGAGACCCTATGGAAGGATACCAGACATAGGAGTAAAGCCAGTTTGGCAGAGAGTTGACGTAACATCAAATTCTTATTAGAGGGCCAGGAGTCTAAAAGGGAAAAAACCTGAGTGACGTCCCAGAAATTGGAATATCTTGGAAGAGGGGGTCTGGCTAGCCTGATCCCTCGTAAAAGTCTACAAACTGAAGGGTGTTTTCCTATTGATGCATTGTCAATAGGGTTGTGGGCCGCAGAAATAGCAGATCTAAAAACAATTGATCTATAGGACTTGCCTTGATCAAAGAGAGTAGACAGAAAATTTAGGATGATCGTCAGAGGTGCTGAAAAGGGATCGGTATCCCTTTCCAAATACCAGCTGACCCATGTCTGCCATGCAGCGAGGTAAGCTCGTCTAGTGCCTGGGGCCCAGGAGTCCCATAGGAGGGCCTGATCTGTCTCCGAATGTCCCGAGACATTCCAGGATCCCCTGAAACGGTCCAAGCTACAAGCTAGAGCTGTCCTTGAAGGGCAAGTGGGTGACAGCGCCCTGCTGGATTCTTGAGGATGTCGGGGGATCGAGGTAGTAGAATTGGACAATTCACAGACAGTTCTAGCAGGGTTGGAAACCAAGTCTGGGCTCTCCATAGCGGAGTGACAATAACTATCGTCACTACTAGGGCTTTGACCCGGTAAAGGGTGCGCTGGATCATGGAGAAAGGCGGGAACGCATAAGCTCCTGTCTCCGGCCAAGGGTGTAGGGAGGCATCGACTGCCCAGGACTGGGGATCTGGGAGCCAGCTGAAAAAGGCCTTTGTCTGGTGATTCAGCCGAGACGCGATCAGGTCCAGTGTGAGGGGCCCGCAAAGACAATGAATTTGATAGAACAAGCGGGGATCCAATTGCCAGTCGCTTACGTCCCTCCAATGATGAGAGAACCAATCTGCGACTAGGTTGTCCATGCCCGGAAGATATTCTGCTCTGATGGATAAATTCCAGAATTGGTAGAGTTCCTTGGTAAGGTCGGACAGTAATTTGGATCGGGAACCTCCTAACCGATTCACATAACGCACTGCAGAGACGTTGTCCATGCGCAGTACTAGTGAACAATTGAAACAATCTTTTGCGAAACTGCGAATCGCAAAAGATCCTGCAATCAATTCTAGGCAATTGATGTGCAGTGCTTGTTCGGAGGGGGACCATAGTCCCGGGTGGACCTTTCAGCGCACGTAGCATCGGATTCCAGAATGAAGTCTGGTTGTGAACCGAAAATGGCTTTGCCATTCCAGGTTTCCATGTTGTGAAGCTGTCAGGATAGTGACAGGGATCCAATACGCAGAGTGCGGGCAGGAGGAGGTACGTATACCGGACCTTAGAATGGCCGGACTAACGTATAGACAAAACAAGAATAGTCAAAAAGGTAAGCCGAGGTCGAGGGAGCCAGAGGACAGGTAAGCGAGGAACAAGCCGGGTCAAAGGAGAGGAGAGAGCAACAGGACAAAGGACAAGCAAGGTCAAAACCGGAAATACTAAGAGAGAGAACGCGCTGAGTGACTAGCAAGCTAGAACCACGACAGGGCAATGAGCAGTAGTAAAAAGTTCCCTTAAATACCCTGTCACCTTAATTGAGGCCACGCCCCCAAAAGGTCCAGAATAGCGGTTCCCGGCACTTCACGTAACTGCTGACGTCATGACGTCGACGCTAGCCGTCGCGTCATAAAAGGGGGAGGAGCTAG